GTACTTTAACTTAAGGTTGAACATTTGCTGGGGATCAGGTACATGTAAGTTCAAATTTCAAGTATTGAGAGTTGGGTATTCCTTCATGTACATGTATGCACGCATATTTCCAAGGAAGACTGTTGTATATCTGAAATTAAAGCCCTTTTAATATTCACTAGACATCTTTTTCAGAATCATTGTTACGGGTTTGAAAATGATTGAACCTGGAGGCAGGTCACAGTTGTCCTATTTGTCAATTGTGTTTTGCTTTGCTTTTAGTTCAGACATATTCCTCCATGGTTCAGACTTCCTCTTTAAACATGATACCCGCAAGCTACTGAAGAAAATGCATGTTTCTATTACAGGATGTACATCTTAGTTTCTTACAATACGGGCATTTCACAATAGCGCGCACCCAAGACTTTGCAACGCGTTGGCCCATCACAGTGCGCAAAATTTATGGACCCAATGTGCGTTTTGAAAGGGTCAACAATTTCGCGCATTGTGATTGGCTAACACATTGCAAACTCTTGGAGGTGCACTATTGTTAATTGCCTGTATTGTAATCTGCTGTGCAGGGGTCCATGGTCTTTTGTACACCCAAGGGGTTACATTTGTTGTGCCTAAGACCACAAAATGAGCTGAAAGTTGGAATTTTCAAAAATTTTGATATTGGTACATGTACACGTATTTTTGAATTCAACAGAAAGAGAGCTTTCCAATGGTACATACATGGAACACTTAAGGTAAAAGTATAAGGTGACAATGTGACATTATTCGGCAGCTTTGTGTATTTGTTTCTGACATCGTTTCAACATTTGTGATCAGGTACATGTATGAATAATGCTTACTATTTCAAAGATTGATTTGCACCAGGGAGTTGTAAATTAATTTTGGATTTTTTGGCCCTGCCCGACGTGTATTGTGAAAAAAACCACAAGCGTACTCAGGTGGGACTTCTGCTTACTAGTACAGACGTCTTAACCACTTAACCACCGAGCTTGCCAGTGTTGGTTGGCTGGTTCGAATCAGATGCAGCAGCAGGTACCACGAACAACTATTTTAAAGATGGAGTTGCGGCAGGGAGATGTAAATTAATTTCCGATTTTTGCCCTGCCCGACTTGAAATAGTTGTTTGCGGTACCAGCTGCTACATCTGATTTGAACCAGCCAGCCGACACCAGCAAGCTCAGTGGTCGAGAGGTTAAGATGTCTGCACTACTTAGCAGGAGGTCGTGGGTTCGAGTCCCACCCGAGTACACTTGTGGTTTTTTCACAAGCCTTTGGGGGCATACACTGAGTCTATAGTGTTAAAATACACATCGAGCAGGGATAAAATCTAAAATAATAATGCTACCATCAAAATTGTTGAAAAAATGACGTTTTGAATACATGTATATAATGCTATAAAAGATTAATCAAATAAGAGACAGACCACTCTTTCCAGATATTACAAAACCCCCAAATTGACCTCCATTTCAATATTTGACTTTGAACCATCAAAATAGGAAAGAACGGAATGCAACTTTACGCTTACTGTATTTTGTTGTGATAGGTCACAAAAGGCACCTGAGGCTAAATGGCAATTTCTCCCCTTTTTTTACAGGTATTGTTAACTGCACGGCATGCACGGTATCTCTGGTATCTTTTTGCCAGGGTTCCTGCGTTGCTTGTGTAGTACCTGTACTACATCACACATTCTCTAATACACCATGCCAGCATTAGGCTTTAACGTAAAATATTTTTGTGAGAATTTACGTGCAACCAAACCACCCTACGAGTGCCCTGTGAAAGATTGTGGCAAAATATACCGAAGCCATTCTGGAATTGAGTTTCACCTGAATAACTTTGACCATGAGAAACCTGGGGGCAATGGATACTCTTCACCCATGAAGCGAGGTAGTTGGCGGAAAGGACGGGTAACCAATCGGCAGAACCGGCGGTCCCCGTCTCCCTCTGTGATCCGATCCCCAACCCGAGAAGCCCTGACATACGCTCAGGCGCAGCGACTAGTTGAAGTAGACATTGATGGTCTTGTACACAGGCTGGATATCCATGAGACCATTGACATCCTCACTGAGGATGAGTTCGAAAGTGAGACGAGTGAAGAAGAAAAGAATGAGAAGCCTCTCAGCAAGGCTGGGAAGGTTTTGGACCAGACCAAACAAAGGAAAGATATTGGAGGCACCTCTTCTATGAAACTTCCTGAAGCCTCTTACAAAATTCTGGATGGGTACGAAGAGCCTCCAGATGCACCAGACCGTCCACAGGCATACTTCAGATACATTGAGAAGTCACGGGAGGAACTGGACGAAGAGATTGAGTATGACATGGATGAAGAGGATTACGCATGGCTTGACATGATGAATGACAAACGCAAGACTGATGGGCTCACTACTGTCTCCCAAGAGATCTTTGAGACCCTCATGGATCGACTGGAGAAGGAGTCATACTTCCAAAGTCAGACATCCGGTAAGACAGACAACAATCAGTTCATCGATGAAGATGCAGTTTGCTGCATCTGCAATGATGGGGAGTGCCAGAACAGCAACGTTATATTATTCTGTGATATGTGCAACCTAGCTGTGCATCAGGAGTGTTATGGCGTGCCATACATTCCTGAGGGACAGTGGCTGTGCCGTCGTTGTCTGCAGTCTCCATCTCGAGCAGTAGATTGTGCGCTGTGCCCCAATAAGGGTGCCGCATTCAAACAAACTGACGATGGACGCTGGGCCCATGTTGTGTGTGCTCTCTGGATCCCTGAGGTGGGTTTTGCCAACACAGTATTCTTAGAACCCATAGACAGCATAGACCATATACCAGCAGCCAGATGGAAGCTCACATGTTACATCTGCAAACAGCGTGGAGTCGGCGCCTGCATTCAGTGCCATAAAGCAAACTGCTACACAGCTTTCCATGTGACCTGTGCTCAGCAGGCAGGACTTTTCATGAAAATGGAGCCCATCCGAGAAACCAGCATTAACGGCACTTCTATTAGCATTAGAAAGACTGCCTATTGTGACATCCACACACCACCAGAGGTTGAGAAGAAGCCCAACTTAAATGACAAGATTATAGAGAATGATGAAGCTGGGAAGGGACTTTCTGCCAAGAAAGCCAAGGCCCAGTCAAGAAAGAACATGAGAAAAGCAAGGAAGATTCTAGCTGAAAAAAGGGCTGCTATGCCGGTTGTGTCAATGCCATGTATCCCACCACAGAGGTTAGTTTTTGTTTGTCCAAATACTGGTTGACACCAAATACATGTAATGTGGTGACAAGGACCTCGCTATCACATTACAGTCCAGCCTATAAGGTTTATGTGATTTTGTTATATATCTGCATGAGCAAGAGTTTTTACAATAATGTGTGAACTCATTTTCATGTGAGGAAACATCTGTGTTTAATATTTTGCTCTTTACATTCAAAAGGAATATTTCCTCAGAGAGAAAGGTCTTGAATTTAAGACACTTGTCTTGATTAGTTGGATTTTGTGTTGAAACCATTTGAAGTAATGTTAATGCCCCATACTTTTTTGAAAGATGTTACTGAAACGGTATTAAAAATACCGCCTTGTTCAGGATCATTTAAATGGATTTAACAGGATCCTCTAATGTATTTGAATGTCATTTTCATTAGGATTTCCAAGATAACAACCAAAGTCAGTTTGCAGAAGAAGCAGCAATTTGTGCAGCGTTTGATCGGTTATTGGACTCTGAAGCGTCAGTCTCGGAATGGAGTGCCCCTCCTGCGACGTCTGCAGGCCCACCATCACTCCCAACGCAACAAAGACTCGGTACCACTGGTTTGTGTAGCCCCCAGTTTCTTTCCTTCTCATCTAAATTTGTTAGTTTCAGTTTAGTTCTAGATCTGTATCATCAGAAGTAGTGTAGTGGAATCTTGTTAATCCTGTCCTTTTTTTAAGTTGACAATTTTGTTTAATATTCAGTTGTAAATTTTTCTCAAACTGTTACTCGCACATTTAATTACTGACTTTTCTGTGTGCTGGACTACTGACTTTTTTCCCATTAGTTTAAATGGTTTTCGATAAACTTTTCAAATTGGTCTAGAAACAAGCATTGGTATCAGACCAAGATATTCTCTTTGTAAGAATTTCATAGCATACATTTGAACTTCACTACTTTTCCTGGACTTAAAAAATAATTTGAAAGAAAATCTTTTTCTGTTTCAGTGTTGTAGTCGAGACCATTGACAAGACCAGTCACAAGTGACAGGTTGAACAGTGACAAAGGAATACTTTTGTTGCGGTTCACATGAATAACCTGTGACTTCATACTGGAGATCTTGTGTTGGTCTTGTGCTGGTCTTGAATGATTTTGTGAATGTCTTAAGTGGTCTTGACTACAACACTGCTCTGTATTTTTCAAATTGATAAAATTCTTGTTTTCTTGAAGTGGAAACTGTTTCTGAAATAGATTTGTGATTTCATACCAACTTTTATTAAAGTCATAAGACGTAACAACTAAAAAATCAATCACAAATTTCCACTCTTGTCCATACTATTTTGCACCAGTGTTGTATTTGAGTCCATCGCAAGTCCCTGTGAGTTCAGTGCAAGTCCATCACAAGTCATTCAAACCTAAGCCAATTCACAAGCTATTCAAATGAGCTGTGACAAAAGCATTCCTTTGTCATGGTTCACCCTGTTACCTATGACTGGCCTTGTGAAGGGACTTGTGACTGGACTTGTGAAGAGCCTCGAATACAACACTATGTTGCACACTCATAATGTTCTACTATGTACCCTGTATGTATGCATGCAAAATAGACTTACGTGACAATGGTGGCTGTAACAAATATGGATCACGAAACACTAGATACACGTATTAGCATTGCTTATAGTTATGAGCATTAGAGGTACAGTATAATCACTGAGTACAATCATAGACTATTTCTAATTAGTATCCACATTATTCCGTTTATCCTATCATAGTTTCTGTTGATTTGCATCTGTCATTACTCATTTTTCCCTATAACCAGTCTCAACATGCACCCTGTTGATATACACATCAGTAAAAGTATGTGTGGATGAATATAATATTCAGGTGTCACCTACACTGGCAGACACATCACTGATGTAGTGCATGGTTTGCATGAAGAAGAAAGTATTTTTCTCTTGAAACTGGGGGCAAATGTTATCGTTTGTCATGTTGTATACATGTTACTTGTGATGGTCATCTGTGCTATAAAAATTTTCTGCAGTATTCTGAGTCAGTCTGCAGTGTTACTCATCTATTTAAGGTTGAAGTGTGGTTTGCAGATGGATATCTTTCGGGACTATTTTAGTAAATTTGATGATTACCTCCTGAGTGGAACATTTTACCCAGGGAGTGCTTCTTGAAGATGTAAAGTAACTTTATAAATTTGCTGTAGACTTAAGTAAACTGTTCATTTCAATGTAGGGAGGTTTTATTAGGTTTGCCAATTCAGCAAGGCAAAACCTCACTGAACTGTTCACCTTTTCATTAATTTTTGTCAATATTTTGATGTATCCCCCATCTGGTCCTACCTTTACATGGCAGGAGAACCAGAAAGCCAACAAGTTGAAAGAGCAGCTCAAATACTGGCAACGACTCCGGCATGACCTTGAAAGAGCCAGACTTCTTGTCGAGCTCATTAGAAAACGAGAGAAGCTCAAACGTGAACAGGTAATTCTTTGAGCAATAAGTAATCCCTCCGCTGTAAATATACATGTAATTCAATGTGTAACTGCTGTTGAGTATTATTTTAGTCCGTGTACTATTTAAGTACATCATCAGTTGAACATTGTGTGTACACGTATGTTGCTCCAGCAAGCCTGGTCCAAGCTAATTTGGCTCATCAGAGTGGTATTATCTCTGGTTTCCTTGGCATGAAACGACTGAGAATATTTTTATTCCCTCTGGACGGGATGCCAGTCCATTGCAGGTTGCTTCCTCAGCTAATGCTGGTGCCCATTTATACTCCTTGTTGGAGAGAGGCAAACAGGTGAAGTGACTTGCCAAGAGCCACAACATACTGCCAGCAGCTTGATTCGAACCTCCAACCCTATGATTGGAAGCCACAGACCCTAACCACTTGGCCTCATGCCCCCCTGTTATGTTGCTCCAGTCAAGTATATAAATCAATATACCAGTTGTACAGTGACTCTTGTGGACAGGCTAGACACTTTCTGGATAGATTTCATACCTTTGAATGAATGTGATCATTACTCATGGTCAAAACCTTGACAAATAAAAATTATTTGCCTTGCACCCTTTGAAAGTGAAGTCCAACATCGTGGTGTGGGAGATTACATATACTGTGGTAAATGATTAATAATAATTGTTTTCCTCACTTTTAGATCAAGTTAAATCAGATGACTATTGAGATGCAGTTGCAGCCTTTCAACATCCTTCTCAGGAATACACTGGACCAACTTGTTGAGCGAGATCCCACCAGGATCTTTGCAGAACCTGTCTCAGTGGAAGAGGTAGGAAACTATTTCCATCAGTGTCATTTCCTATCCTATCACAAATCTGATTTGGAAACTCAATAGAGTGTGCATACTAGTGTCCTCTTTCCTTTCTTCAGATGACCTTTTTATGGGGGGGAGTGTTATGGTTGTCAGATGACCAAGTTCAAAGCCACCCTCCTTCCTTTTTAAAACCACTCCCACCCTTCTATACCCAATCTACAGTGTACCTTCTCATCTGTCTTATTTAATCTTGAACAATTTTTTAGGCTCCTGATTATTTTCAAGTGATTAAACATCCCATGGACTTTTCGACAATGAGGGCAAAGGTTGCAGGTCACGAGTACAGGACCATCGATGAGTTTGAAAAAGATTTTGACCTCGTCATCAAGAACTGCATGACTTACAACAGCAAGGATACAGTATTCTACCGGGCAGCTGTCAAACTCAGAGACACGGTATGCTGATGAATTTTACCTTGACGAGTGAGAGAGACGGAGCGTCATGTACATTTAGTTATGACTTCTCTTTGGCAGACACCACTGACTTACATTTATTGATAGTCTGCTGTTCCTCTTTTGAGACTTGTTGAATGAATCCCTTCATTGTTGTTATATTATTTTGGAGGCAGGAACTTGATGGCCTGTAGCCATTCTTTTTCATTTGTTTGATGGAACCTGATGTCTGAAGCCAGTACGTAAAGCTATGATACAGCTAGTCTCACATAATACAGTAGTAGCTTGGCTCTCCAGAAATGAATTAATTGTTTGCAAGACCAAAGAAATGTTAAACTAGAACAGCAGCCTACAAATATGAGTTAATATTCTTTACGTCATTAAGCACTACATTTGACATAAATGGGCTGTTGAAAATAGACATTTGTCTTTTTGAGTTTGTGTTTAAGTGAGATGAGCACATGCTAAGGCAGAGCATGAAATGACGGTTGAACAATGGACATTTTACATGTAGGACCACCAGCCGCAAAATAATGTTTATCCAAAAGGTTACATGTAGGTCAGAGGGCAAAATCAGCCAACAAAGGCTGTCACTTTGTAACTTTTGACAGGGTCATGACCCGATAAGGAGTGTAAGGACATTTTTACAGGATGATCAACGTACGTGATGCTTGATATCAAATGCTCAATGCACGTGTGATAAGATACCAGCAAGTTGCCAAAGATGTTGCAATCTGCTTGCAGTGAGCTGAGTGCAATATACAGATCACTATATTCTTGTGCATAATGCATAGTACATGGACAGGTACATACACCAAGGGCGAAGAATATACAGTACGTTGCATTTGAAAGTTAACGCTGCGAAAAGGAATGGGAAAAAAGCGATAAGATTTCGTATTTTCACTACAATTTTTCCCCCCTGCGAATTTGCAGCCAATCATATGCGAAAGGGACGAACGACATATGAAAACGGTACAAAAATGTGCAGCAAAAATGCTCAACATTTGCCACACGCGCACGACTATTATGCAGTGAAGAGTTCATTATGCAGGCTGCGCTGCGCTTGGGGCCGGTTGGGGCCAACTCATCACATGGAGTGTGGTGTTGTAGTCTAGTTGTGATTTCCTCGGCCGAGCCGTCCGGTCCATGCTGCGCGATCGCGGGGATGTGCTCACCACGACGAGCCGCGTTGTTTTCTTGGATTACCACAAGCACTCGTCAGTGTCTTAGAATAAATGTTTTCTGGATGTTGAGTGATTAAACAGGAGTCCCCGAGTCATGAAGTCACGAAACACATGAAATGTGTGTATTACAACAAACTTAACTTGCTCAGCTGTGGCGAGATGGGTTTTTTGCCCACTTTCTATTTATTCTCGTGGTGTAGTTTAGCACACAAAAAATCTACAAGAAATACTACTTGTAGTATTTTGTTACCGAAAGGTTTCTTTCGATCGACAAATAAAATCAACCGCTTAAATTGTACGTGTATCTTCATGTAGCAAATCTCGTCTTTTCGCCAATTGTGTTCAGTGTGACATATCAGGTCTGTTTTCACTTGGGTTTCTGATGACATGCTACTTTCTGTGGTCACATGGTAATTGGAAATGTCAGCGATTGGACTGTCCATGAATGGGCGTGCAGTAGCAGTCAGGATGTCGTGGTAGGTGTAGATGCAGTTTGTGCTTCGCAATGCGGTGCGGCATGCACGAGGTCCCGTGGCAGTTTTTGAAGAGATTTGGTAGTATTTTTTGATCGCCGTCACGAAAACGTCGAGATAACCGGATACAAGGTATTTATTCCGAAATCATGGTACGTACATCTGCCAATACATGTAAATGTAATTCACATACATGACAACATGTGGATACATGTACACATGTACATGAACGGTGCAAATGTTGAGCATCCATCCAAGTGGGTTAATTTAATGTAAAGGCTTATAAGACATGTAAGAGAGCACTATAACGGCAATCTACTGTAATTCAGCTGTTCCGTGTTCAGTGCTTGTCTCCAACCTCCACCATAGCCAGCTTTGATTTCGCCTGTCGTATTGTATTTTGTTCAAAACCGAGAAACATACTGCGTTGAAATTTTAATGCTGTCTTCCTCAAGTAATCTGAATATTCCTGAGAATTGAAGAACTTTTCTCTCAGACTGATTTTCCTCCACTTTCCACATTCAGAGATGTGCATGTTTGAAACCACAGAGAACAAAAACATCCTGATTTCTGCATGTACATGCACAAATACGACTTAATGAAGAAAGCTTGCAAAATTATTTCCCCACTACCAGAGAAAATGTGAAAATCTTTTCCCACTTGTGGGAAAATCTGTGAAAAATTTTTTTTTCCCATTTGTGGGAAAAAGCGTGAAAATATTTTCCAATTGGGGTGAAAAGGTGTGAAAATATTTTTCCACTTTTGGCACACTTTTTCATAATTTGTGAAATGAAAAGGAATTCCGTGGAAAGAGCAAAAATGTGAAAAAAGTTTCCCATTTTGGTGTTAACTTTCAATCACAGTGTACTGTACATGTACTTACATATGCTGAACTCGATCGTCTTCTCAGTTTAATTTCTTATTGCAGTATCTCAGAATGTGACCCATAGGTTTTCAGTTTCTCTGATTTATGTATATTTTAAATTGTCTGACATTCACACTGCAAAAGCACATTTTCATATGACCAACCAAAAAGGCCAGTCATAATGGTAGAACAGGATTGGTTGTGTTCAGACATTTTGTCTGACTGCTTACTTTGTCTACTTTCATGCTCTGCTAAGGTCATCACAGATCCTGTACAGAATCCAATCAATCAATAGTTACATCAGCGATGGCAATATTACAACCGAAACAAGTGCGTACATGTGGAAATGTTTGTATGCCCCATAATCTATGTTTTCTGATCTTGTAGGGTGGAGCTGTCATCCGTAATGCCAAGCGTATTGTTGAAAAGATTGGCTATGATCCAGCGACAGGTTTCCATGCTGAAAATGCCCCTCTCTACAAGGAAACAGAACTCAAGTTGGATGATTGTAAGCTTGGCTTTTCTACTTCTGCTTGTTTTTGTGTGTATGTACAGGGACAGATTATATTTTTCAGATGTAGATGCAGCCCATATAGGTAATTCTCACTGGTCCATATGACCCAATGTTTATCTGCCATTATCATAGGCAAAGAGGACAGCGTCATGCAGTTGTGGGCAGGTTTGCAAAGCTTTGATTTAAATGTCGACTGTTGTGCATATGGGGCATTTTACTCATGCGCGTATAGTTAACAGGTACCTTTCATGTGTCTACCGGTAGTTGAACATGAGCATTTTACTGATGTATGTCCTCCACACTGTCGGCCGCATATCTTTTGTGTTCTTAAGTGATGCCAGTGTATTTAATTTACATCACAATATCCTTTCATTTCCTATGAGTATCCTCATAGTGGCAGAATCTGGTATACCTGTGACTTCAAGTATACTCATAATCAACAGTTAACGTGTTAACGACACGAAAAATGCAGCCAGCACCGAGCGCTTAATTGGCATCACAGATGGTGACCACATGATAAAGGATTTGTGGTTATTTTGCCTTATTGTCTAGTTTAAGCCTGGTTCCCATATGATCGTTTGTAATGCAGACGCTCCGCAAGACGTGAAGATGTAGACACAAACGGAAGAGAAGGTGCATGACCTCATTCCACCCCAAATTGAAACAAAATGGCATCCGAAAATAACCTTTTAGATCTACTGTACTGCCTCATGATGCCAAATCTGTACTCCAGTTTCATGCATTTTATTAATGGTCAGCTACTTATAAGACTTGAAGGTTTTCATGGTGAAAGAACTATATGAGTAAAATGATTGTGGTTAGACCATGGATCAATCTCTTTCTTGAGTACGTGTGGTTCTGAGAAAAACCGGGGACCGACATTTCGAACAGTGTACTCTGTTCGTCAGCGGACATGGTGTAACCACAATTGTTTTACTCATACAGTCAGCTACCTAGTTGATCATAAGGGTGTAATATTTGTTAAGCATTAAGGAGAATATGGGTAAAATTGGTAGAACTACCGGTAAGTGAGAGAGACATCGTTGCACGCCGGTCATGCCAGCATGCATGTTGGTGTGGGGATACTATGGCTACTTGACGCAGACAGTCGGCAAATTTGAACCTGGCTCAACTTTTCCAATTGTTTGAGGGCTGCTTTGCGATTGTTTGTGTTGTCGATGACACCTCCATTTGACGCTTCCATTTGTCCATGTTGCAGTTTGCGTCTTGATTCTGTTGCTCTTTGCATTTCTTACGTTGATAGGGAAACCAGGCTTTACAATGTTCAGTGTATGGTTGCCTTGCAGACACTTGCCTACTGCAGTGGTGGCCAATCTTTAGGACATCCTTTTATCGCATGGTACTTTGTCATCTTTTGATCAGACCCTGTACCACACAATTATGTTCTGAAAGAACATATTCATTGCAGTTTTTAAAGAGGGATATACAGTGTATACAGAATTCACACATGGAGTGGGCAGTGAGGTCAGAAGTGTGCCATGGGGGACTGTGAGTGACAAGATGATGGACGAGAAAATGTATTTTGTGGGGCCAAAGGCTTATGGAAATAAGACCCCTTTACAGGCCCAAGGGGGGGGGATTGATGTGCACTGTTGACCAAATGTTGGCAGTTTTATGGTACACCTCTGTCCAAAGTGTAACATATAAGAAGAAAGTTTTCAGTATTTTATGACCGAGCTGTTTAATTTGACAATTGACTCATGGGTAGTTTGTCAAGCAATTCATCAGTTAAAAGAATGCTGTTAGTTTCCTTTTTATCATAATGCCATGTTCAGACACTACTCCATAATTTGTATTTGCACTGGGTCAATGGATGTGTGTAGTTCACAATTATGCTAATACCATGCCACATAACCTTAATTCTGCCAACCAGGATGAAGAACAAGCAAGAGGTGTTGTATAACAGTAAATACTGCATCCAATTCTGTTTAGGGCTTTGCACATTGAAAACCAAGATACATTTACATGTACTTCCATGTACATGTACTTCCATACATGCACATGTACATCACTAATTTCAAGATTAAACAGAATCTATGAAAAAGAATGGTGTGACAATTTCACCCTAATGTGTAAGACTGTAACATCGGTAAGCACAAATTGGACTTTCAATCTCCAGTTGATATCGCCCTGTCACCAGCCCACCGTGCAGACATGAGCCTGGAGGAGCAACTTCGTGAACTCTTGGAGAAACTCGACATGACTTGCACCATCAAGCATGGTGCGGCAAGGACCAAGCGTGCCAAGCAGCTACGTAAAGAGATCAATGTTATTCGGCGGAAGCTGGCACAACAAAGGAACCAAGCCAACAAGGCGGTATCACCAGCAAAGAAGGCTGGAGAAAAGAAGCAACGATTATCATCCACAGAGGGGTCATCAAGTAAGACCAGACAGCCAGTTCATAATTAAGGATAAAGATTTTTAACTAAATGACTAGTTCTTCGGTTTGTCATGTTATGTTTCAAATAAAGTTTGGTTATCTGTGCGTTCTAATTCCATTGGCCCTTCACTCCACTGTCTCTGCTCTTTTTCTTCTCTTTTCCTGATTGTGTCTGTTTGGCAGAATCTTTTGTCAAGGTAACATGTTACTCATATGTTGCCTTACTGACTGACTGATATGCTGCACACACTCTCACTAACTCAGAAAATGTACTTATTTCCATACCTTCAAATGTAACATTATACATTTAAGTCAGTGGCACTCTGGGTTTCTGTAGTAGCTTATAGCTAAGAAATCATTGATATTTTTAATATAGTGTATATTTTATTCTGTTGATTACAATTCCAGATGATGAAGGAAGTGACGGCCCACCACCAAATGACTCAGCAGAACCACCCAAACTTTCCCCTTCCAGACCTGCTCAAATAGTAGGTAGGAGCAAGTCCTCCCCTTCTAGGACATCAGTGATCCGCCCTTTACCAAGGTCTCCAGGAAGGGGGCGTGGGCGAGGCAGGCAGAGGGTGTCTCGCTCCATGTCTGAGCCTCACCCAAGGAGCGGTGACTGTGCTCCCACACTCTCACCTAATGAGGCATCTGAGACTGCAGTCACACCCAACAAGAGTCCATCCCATTCCTCTGACAAGAGCCCCTCCCCAGGCGGAGTTGGCAGAAGAACTTCAATACTGTTTCGGAAAGCAGGGCGTGGGAAGCCTGCTGGAAGTCCTGGATCCAGAAGAGGTGGTCGCCTGGGGAAACGATCACTGTCCATGGACATAGAGAATATAACAAGAGACAATCGTCGAGGGATCCAAGAAGGAAGCCTTCACATAGAGACTGAGTATGAGGGAAACCTACCTACCACATCTTCTGTTGTCAATGAGAACCATACCAGAAAGAGATCCCGAAGCCTGAGTGCAAGCAATGCTGATTGCAGCCCAGCAAAACGATTGTTGGAGTCCAGTGTGTCAAGCAACCTACCCAATGGTTTTGAAGGTGTCAAGCCAACAGGGGACAGCTTCACTACGTATCGTTCTGGACATAACCGCACCCGAAGCAGCTCAGATTCAGAAAGTACATCCAGCACCAGCTCTACCAGCTCTGGCTCAATCTCTGAGTCAACTTCAACCATGGAAGAAGGCCACCGTCATCGAAGACCTCATGGTCGACTTAATCTCCCTGAAGACAGCAGTGGTGATACATCCTGTGGCGAGAGCACCAGTACCACCAGCAGACATCGTCATCATGGTGCGGGTCCTTACTTGAGAGAAAAACGAGGTAACAGAGTCATGAAGTCAATGTCCAATGCCAAAAAGAGCATTGAATGTTTTTCTTGTCCTTCATATCTTTTTTTTTTCACTTTTTTCCACTTTCCATTTCTTCAAAAACACACTTAAAAGATCAAAACTTTCACAGTAATTTTTTCTGCACACTATTCTGAGGGTGACTTAACATTCATGACTGTTACCTTGTGTTTCTTCTTGGTTGTTTGTTGATATCTGGTTACATGTGTTAATGCTGTGTTGGTACATGTACATTTTGTGTGGGTAAGCAATAGTTACTGTTGCCCTATCTTATTTGCCCTCAAGGTAGCTGTGAAACCTTCCTCGATGTGGCAATGATTAATCTATGCATAATGCTTTATTTTGAAGAAAGGGGGACGGAGCAAATTGTGTGTATTGTTCACTGGATTGAAACACTGAACTACTGAACGGTTAGATACAAATTATTGTTTGGTTTATTCCTGCTAGACTTGAACAAACAGAAATGCAAAAGTTTACACACAGTTTTCAGACTTATACATTCCAGAATAAATTCATTCTGTGTACTTGCTCTGCATCAAAAACACATAAATTTGCATGCCTGTGCAGTGAGTTCGTACCAAAGGACTGTCAATTTTCATTTAAAGACACAGCCTCTTTTGTTCCCGCTTGGAGCGGATGATGCTCCAGTAATGAAATGCATCCTGCAATACCTATTTCATCATCCAAAAAGGCTCACAAGTAAATACAATTATACGATTACAAAAGTAGGCAGTGCTCTTCACTGGCACATGATTGAATGATCCACTGCATGAAATTGTTCCACCATTCGTATTCGTATATTTACGGAAGCGATAGGCAACAGGCTCTGTTGATTTACATGCACCTCCAGCACGAGAAAGTACTGGGATTAGCGCTTGACTATTAAATGATAACAGGATGCCTTTAGGTTGTCCCCTTCCTATTGGCTGTTTGTAGTTTTCTAATTGTGACTTTTGGTCCCTACAGTCATTCCAGATTGGGTTATTGGGTCTGGTGGCCACAGGGCAACTCAGTGCAAAGTTACTGCCTCTCTGTGGGGCATCAAGTCTAATGGACTCAGCATTGCCTACAGACTCAGGCATTGGCCATTGCCATCCTTGAGGGAGGGCTAGCTGTCAGGTCCCACTAGAGTGAGGGCTGGCTGGAGATGATAGGCTCACAAGTCACATTATTAGTAATGATCCTTCTGCATGTTCATTGACAAAACTTTAATACTGTTGACAGCTATGTGTCTGTGTTAAATGTGGTTTTTGTGACTGTGGATAGTATGATCTGAATATGGTACATGTACATGTATTTGTTAAGGTTTGGCTCAGATGTTGATTAATGGTAACTGGGATTTGTTTCCATGTACATGTACTGCTTGATTTCTGGTCCCCAAGTAATGTATTTTTTTAAAGTGCTCTCACCTAGTCGTAAAGGTAGCATCTGCAAAGGCTTTTGCTCATGGTTACATACAAATCCAATGGGAGTTTTCAACTCCTTTTATTATCCATTCTTGGTTGACACAGGTAAGACAAGGAGCACAAGTTGGAACTCAGACGAAGATGACATTCCCCTCAGCCCATTAGACCTGGTATGGGCAAAGTGCCGCGGCTACCCATCCTATCCAGCCCTGGTATGTTACCTGTTCACTTCACAGAGAGAAGTTACCAAAAAATTAAGAAGTATCCAGGTAAAGGTTTGAAAATATGAAAATTAATGCATAGGTAAAAGGTAAACTAAAGACAAGTTCTGTATAAAGGCAGAAGGGTTGTCAGTAAATTGCTATTTCAAAATCAGATTAAGGGAGCACGGCAAAACCTTTGACGGGGCCAAGCCTTTAAAAGACTGGTCATAGCCTAAGCTATGCCTCGGCGGGTGGGCCTTTCAATCCTGATCAAAATGACAGTGGGTAGTCCCACCCCTTTGGATGGAGTCACGCATAACTGGCATTCCAACTCCAGAGTCAATCCCATCCGCTGCATTCCACTGTAAAAAAAAAATCAGGGTGCCCATTGTCGTTCAGCTTTGATGTTTACAGTCGCTGTTGCTTTTGATTCTGGCAGTTAGGTGGTTTTGCAAGTAGGATTGGGCTGGAGAATACAAGGGCCTTGCTGCAATCTGAATAAAGATGTCACTGTAATGGCTGTATTTCTGTTTGCTGTGACCAAGTGTAAATGTCAGCTTTTTTTTGGTGGTTTTTTTTTAGCAGTTTTAGTTTGTTTTTTCATTGAAGCAGACGTTTGCCATCCATTCTGCGCACTTGTGAGTTTTTCCGCATGGAATATTTTACAAGCTTAAGCAATAGTCAGCAATTGATCATTTTCCCCTATTTGTGATGGAATGTCTTTCTCATAGATCTGTTTCCTGTCCAAATCATGAAGGTTAAAACAATACAATTGTGTTTCAGATGGATTTAAAAGAACTTCAAACATTGTCTCTTATTTTTTCTGATATCAGAGGAAACGCTGTACATTGGTCACCAGACTTCATCAAAAAATCAAAGATACAAGGAACACATGTGTGACTGTTATGTTGATAGAAAATGTGAATGTTACATAGCAGGTGTTAGAAATTAAATCTACAATCCCAACTTGAATTTAGAACCCAAATATTGGAAACAATAAAAGAAAAATCAGACTGACCTTTAGCAGTAAAATTTTAAAAACGATCATATTCAAAAGAAAGTCACACAGTCGCTGATGTCTGACTGATTTTCGACATCCATGCTTGGCTTGAATAAATAATGCAAGAATCGTTGGAATGAGTGTCACCATAGAAAGGTAATAAATTTGTGGGCTTACATCAACTCTTGCCTGTTTCCAAGTGGCCAGCGAAACTTACCAGTTTGTGGGCACAGACGTACTATAAAATCTTTGTAACTCGAAGTCACCTAACAAAATTAAACCTTACCTTGGAATGTAAGGGCAAACAAGATAATAGTGTTGCTTCCTATTACAATGAAAACAAAGTGACAAAGAGTAGGTGGGAGGTATCTCCTTTTTTTCATGAAAATTCATCATGTTTCATGAAAATTTTTTGGCTATATAAGAAAGGTTTTGATTTGAATATGACAAGCAGCCAAAACTAGAATGTAATATCTATGGTCAAGTCAAGGTTTGTAGAGTGAGCTGGACCTTTTCCCACCAGATCTGACCACGTTTTCAAAATTTCAATTCTTTGGTATTACAAAGAATGCACATTGCATGCCAGGCGCTTGGATTTTCCGGGCATGGACTGTGTTGAATGCCTGTCTAAGGTGTATTCCATCCACTGTTTTTTCCCGCAGATTTGTAACTTGAGGATTGATCTTGACAATTATGCTATCCATATCTGAGCCTCTTTGATCAATTATACATTTGTGTTGCAGTGATATTTTAATGAGTTAATGTCAAAAAAATGTTTGAAAGCTTGTATGAAATGATGCACATAGTGCATGTAAAAGCCATGCTTCGTGCGCCCCGTGCCAGTTTTGAAACCCTGTATCAGTGATAACCAAAATGAACTAACCTTATTCAAGTTGTAAATTTGTGTGTGCTAACGCGAGTTATAGTAGAGATTGTTAGTCACTACCTCCCCTCACACAGAAATAGCTGTAATGAGTCCCTCTCACTCCTACATGAATATTGATGTTTCATTGGCAGCCAATCACAATAACCGGGTGGCCCAAGGATATAACACAAAAGGCTTGCACTTTGAGCCAGACCATATAGCTAGCTACATATCACTGCACTCACATACATGTACAGTAGATTCTTGTTCAGTGTCTGAAATCGAAAGAAGGCATGGAAAGTTTGGCCTGGCAGTCACATCGTCGGAAAAAGAACAATCGGCAGAAGGCAGAAAACGAGGAAAAACTGGCCTGTTGATGGCAAAAAAGTGGAATATAAAATTCGGCATACACAACAAAACAAAGGAAAAATTTCAGACCCCTGAAATAAGCGCGAGGGTCGGCAACAGTGGTTGTTATTTTTCTTTTTCAATAAAAAGATTTAGGGTCGGTGCGATTTGCAAGGTTGGGCAGGTATTAAAGTGGAAGCACAAATATTATTTTGTATGGCATAATGGTTGTAAATGTGATGTCAATGTCAAAAAGATCTCTTGGTTTATTATTACTGAAATATAATTATGATGCATCTAGAATAATAAACTTCACTGTCATATGAAAAAATATATGTTTAATGTACATGAGATAAATAGCAATTGAAAGCATCGGGCTGGGGATTTTTTTAAAGACTTTCCATTGCCGTGGATGTGGATGAAGCTAACAGCATTCATTAAGTAGATTTGTGTGTACCTGCAAGAATGTGAACTCATCTTTCCAACACAAATTGTGTTATGGAGAGATATTTTTGTCTTTAGATATTTTGCATTTGCTGCATGACCAACGAGAATAGTCAAGCGAACTGATTTGGGGTGTATTTTTTATTGGATTTGGGAGGGGATTTTTCTTAGCATTGCTACAGTCGGTGTAAAAAAATTACTGATTTTTGACTCGTGCTCTACGCTACTCAATGACGACAGGAAACTGGTGAACAATGTCTGCATTTCGCTATGTGTAAGCATGCGTGATGCATCAGGGGGAGTGATAACCCTCAAGCTGCAGCAGGAAGTGAGCATGAACAAGCAGTACAACCTCAAATTAAATTCATGAACACAGAAAATACAAACTGGCAAGAGATCCATTTCTGTGAATGAACTTGAAGAAATTTTAGGATGTGGCAGTGTTTTTTCGACTGGGTTTCGCCGTGCTCTCTAACTGGAAATTCTTTTTTCCTCAAAGTTACTCTACTCCATAATTCTAAGGCCCACATAGTAACAATAATAATAATAACAACCACTTGTAAAGCCCCGTCTATCTAGTAAACCATTCCGAGACGCTGTATTATCATTATCCCTGCACATTGGGCTCACACATCATCAGAACATTCCTGAAACCATCTCAGCTCCCTGGGGAGTTTACTAGCCAGGTGCTGCCATTTTGGCGCAAATGGCTAAACTACAATATCTGCACTCACAGGTACCCATTTACTCCTGGGTGGAGAGAGGCACAGGGGAAAGTAACTTGCCCAGGATCACAACATGCTGCCACCAGCTGGATTCGAACCCCTGACCCTATGATCAGAAGCTACAAACCCTAACCACTAGGCCACATGCCTCCCACATGGTATTGTATTGTTTGATCAATACAAAAGAAACTGCTGCCGAAACAGTCACAGACAAGTGCAAACAAATGGCAAAACATTGTAACTCCCATAGCACTTCATCCTTTTAAGCTGTGATAGGGTGTGCACACCACACAGTACACAAACATTGCAATCTGTCAAGTTGCCTGATTGCTGCCATTCACCTAGTTGTAGCTTGCACACTGAAAGTCCAATCTCTGGCTCTTTGCAGTGGCATTCAACTGCACTGGAAATGTGGCTTTTAATCTAGCCTGATCATTATCAATGACCCCAGATGGAGTTATGGTTCATGAAGGGCAGCAATGTGCTCACAATGGTGCAAAATGAATACAAAATTGCCACACACAGCTTGACATGTTTATTGTTAAGAACATGTAATTCATTTTGTAATTACAGTCAACAAAAAGAAAGACAAATGCATCTGTTTAAAAGTCCAGCCAGGCATAGGAGGCTGCAAATTCCAGCAGAATTTCTACAGTCATGGAAAATTCTGGAAGAATGATGCCATTTTTATCTCGAATTCCAGGCCTGGAAAAACTTTTGAAATTTGTAAAAAAGTCATGGAAATTTGTGAAGACCAATTTATGCAATAGATAAATTGATAAAATTAACTAAATGTACATGTTGGTGCATGCTTGATCAGCACAAAAATTAATGTGGACATAAACATTCATTACACTAAAAGAGATCAATGCCAGCACTAAAATGTGTGCCCATTCAGCTGATAAGAAGACGTAATACAGGGGCACCCCAATTTGAAATTCAAAAGGCAAATATGTTGGAGATATCCAGGCTTTGACCGTAATGGCAGCCATGAAGAATATGGATCTGGCATCAGTCTAGTCAGAGCCATGATTTGCTGCTACGTATCAACCACATGAACTCAAACTGGAGATTTACATTGTCAATGATCTGGCTTGCTTTTGATATTTTGACTCCATTCACGATATCAAGGTCAAAAATTTCAAGTCGTGACTGATATTGCTTTTAGAGTGATATCGAAAAATCAAGTAACATCAGTACATCAACGGACCCCACATGGCTATTTTTAAGGCTGATAAATTCAAACCTCCAGCCATTTTAAGAATCCTGCAGTGACAAACTAATTTTTTAAAAGTAAGTTTAACCACTTGCTGCCGGGGACTCCGGGATCAGAGACGTTTTATATGGGTGGCCGGGGTCTCCGAACTCGGACAAAGGAAACGGGGCCCTGTAACAAAAGACCGTACTCTGAACAAAAGACCAGGCTGCTGGGCATTACCGACATTTTTCACTCTCAAAAGTGGTGATAATCCAACCTTGTTTTGAAACCGTATACCAGGGTTTGAGGCATTGCGAACGAGCGGATTACCACCGGGGACAAAAGCGCTCCACCACCGCAGCGCTGCACGCTAATCTGGCCCCTATTGAAAAGCGGTCAGCAGTGCAGTAAGCTAGGTTCATGAACAAAAGACAGTTATACAACTCCGCACAATGTGGGCTCTGTTTACAAGGCTGCTGGCCTGGCTGAAATACTCGGGCATCAATGAAGGTCACCTGTCAACTTAGAGTAGTGCCTAAAGATTACTTGGTGCGGCTATAAATGACCGTT